GGTCTTTTCCAGCTGAGTGATTCTGTGATTCAGATGGGCGACATAACCAGGAAAAACACAGTGTCCCCCTGTGTTTTCCAGGACATCACCCACTGGCCAGAGAGGCATTTCTCACCTCTTCAGGACACCACAGGGAGTGGAGGTGGTCTGGACAGGAGCTCAATGCCACTCACGGTAGAGATGAGACCCAGTAAGGCACATTTCATCTCCCAGACTTTTTATACTTACACAGAACGTCCTATGCTCATTTTGTCCTTGGTGACTTCTTCAGTCATAACATTGAATTTAAAATCTGACTGCAGGATGCGTATCAGTGGAAAAACTTATTTATTGGCAGAAAAGAGTTTATAAACATGTTATGACATTCTTCTTCATCTGATTTATGCTAAGACATCCCAGACACGTAAGGGCAGAAGTAAACTAGGATGCACACATACATTTCCTCTGCCAGCAGTTCCCATATTTCACACAAGCATGAATAAATGGACATTTCTTGATAAGAAGTGGAAAATTCTTTCCTCTATCTGAAGTAGTTTAAAGTGCTTCTTTTATTTTATGCTCCTCACCTTCCTTATAATTTGATAGTGTTGTTAGCATTGTAGTGCTGATGCTTTAAACAGAAGAGAAAAACAGATTTTTAATTTTGCATTTCTCTCCAGTAATCCTTCAAAATATTGTTCTGGGTTAAGAATCAGAGTTAGTGGGATTTACAGACTAGCTTACCAGTACAACAGCAAGAAAGCAATTGAGGTTAGGTAAGGTTAGGTTAGGTTAGGTTAGGTTAGGTTAGGTTAGGTTAAGTTAGGCTGAGCTGGGCTGGATGAGGGGCAGGGCAAATGGTGTGGAGATATTTGGGGTTAGAAGCTCCTTTCTCGGGAAGTGCAGCATTGTTCCTGCTTAGTTCCTGCTTACGTTTGGTGACGTTGTGGGGTGGGGGAAGAGGAAAGAGGAGGGGAGATCTCCTAACAAACAGCTGTTGCAGCTGTAGAGGGAAAAAGGGAGAAAGATCAGGAGCAGCAGCAGCATCCCGACCCCTGCGACAGGTAACAATTCTTTAGTGCAGGTGACCAAGACTGCTCAAATGCAAAAAGGCAGGGGGGAGTAAGTGGTGCGGGATGCGCCTGTGAGAGAAAAATACAACTCTTGTACTGGTTCTCAGCAGCTTGCTTCTTCCTGATCTACAGCACTTGCAGCTTGTCACAGGGGTGGGAGGGGGAAGGGGTGGAAGTTCAGACCAGTATCACTTAAAAGGAAACCGTGTCAGCAGAGGGGCTTTTCTGGCAGACCTTTCCTGTTGAAGGAAAAAAAAAAATAGGAACATTGCTCTGTTTTCAGCGTGGAGCGTTGCTTCCTCATGCACGGCCAGCCAACGTGGGTGCACAGGACGGCAGCAGAGCACAACGGCTCTGAGGCCAGGATGGGCTCAGTTCATGCAGGCCTGGGTGGGATCCCGGCTCAGTCCCCCTCTGAGAAGGACCTGTGTGTGGCACCTGAGGTGGGTGCCACTGCTGTGCCTCCTGTCACCGTAGCTCAAGGAGGACGTGGTCCTGAACACCCTTCAGGCACAGAGGGCACCCACCTCTGTACTTACCCCAGATGGCAGCTGCCACAGAGACACACTGAAGACCTTCATGTTAAAAATAATAAAATGCAACAATTATGTGATTTTTCTGCCTGTGGAAATGTGTCAGGCTTTGCAAGCTAAAACTGTATCACTGGTAAAATCTCTGCTGGTGAATAAAAGGGAAAACAGGATGTTTGGGACTATGCTGCTGTGCGTGCTGGTTCTGAGTGGTTTTACATTTCATCTAGTTTCCTAGGTTTTGAGCCCACAGAGAAAGCAGATAAAGTTTTCCACTAAGGAAAACTGATCCTAAATATGATAAACATGTCCCTAACATTTCAATGTATTTGGTATAAAATCAGCTGGAGCTGACAACTAAAACAACAGATAGCAAGTCCAGCCTTCTGGATCTTTCGTCTCTCTTTCTTTCTCCCGTCATCAGTGCAGGCAGAGTACTGAAATGTGCAGTGCCCCCCAAAGCCTTCAAATGAAAGCAACCTGAAAGTGTTAAAGCACATCACGCTGCAGGGAATAAATGCAGCAGCAAGTCCATTTTGCAAACCAGGCACCAAGGAGGCTAAGTGAGGTCTGTAAAGTCAGCCAGCAAGTTTGGGGCAGGGTTAAGAACTGAACCTACTGGATTGCTCATAGGCATTTTGTCTGCAAGGGTGCTGCAGAAGCAGCTCTGTGAGGTAGAGGTGGAACAATGCCTGCTGTGGACCAGAGGGAGCAGGAAATCTCATTAAAGACCATCTCTTCTGCCGGTAGCCTTTCAAATAGAAGCCAATGGCTGAATTTTGTGTTGTGACACAAAACTGCTAGGACAGTGAAATAGGTTATCCTCAGTCTGCTTCTGGTTCTCTAGGTAAAGAGACCAGCCTTTGGATGAGAAAGACACAGAATCACAGAACCACAGAATCACAGAACGTTAGGGATTGGAAGGGACCTCAAAAGATCATCTAGTCCAATCTCCCAAGACCTTATAGAACTGTTATATTTCAGTTTCCTTTTGATTAACACAGTAGGATGAAAGCCCATTTTGAAATCAGGGCTGTTTGTCCACACAGAGGAGAGCATCATGAAGTGAGGGAGCTGCTCCCAGCTCGCAGCTCTGGGGCTGGGATCGGTGCTCCAGGTAACACCAGCATGCTGCTCACGAGCACATCTCTACCCTACACTGGGAGCACGTGGCCCTCCATAAATGCCAGCAATGTGTATGTATTTCAGTAGTCACCAGTACTTTTTAAAGATTATGAGTTTCAACATGCAATGGCTGCCATATTGTCAAAACATGAGTGTGGAGCTGCATTTACAAATGTTCTTTTGGTTACGCCCTGTTTAGCCAAGATTAAGCAGCTTAAACATTGTAAAGACAACAATTTTCGAGCCATCCAAGCCCAAAACACTGAAAGACAAGCTCTGAGACAGATGTAGCAAACTAAACTTCAGAAGAGAGAAACCATATGCTCAGCTTGCATCCTGCGCAAAGCCCACATGGCAATATCAGACCAAAGAGACTGATGGAGGTGCTGACTGGAAAGCTTCAAGATCTTTATAATTGTTCCTGTAACTTTCATACCAATTACAGTAATTCCTATCCATCCAGTAATAAGGCTCTTTCTTAAATCAGAACACTGTTCTTAATTTTTTTGTCTTTTTTTGATGTACAGTGTCCCATATTTTCTTCTTACCATAAGAGAGCACAAAGTGTCATTCAGTAATAAAGCAGATGAGATTTTGGGTCAATATAGAGCTCACTGGACATTAGTCCAATTCAGTTGTATCAGACTTTTCCCAAAAGGAGTGTTTATGGAATATTTTCATTTGTCTGGTTCCTCATATGTCATTATTTTCATAGTATCAAAGGGCACTGATGCCTCTTGGGAGGTAAATTATGCCAGCAGATCTTTCTGTGCTTATAGAAGTAATGATACAAACAGCAGCTATCCTGCATAATAGGAAGAAAGGAAGAAAGGCATTTTCTGTGGCCTCCCTAGGATATACTTAAGATTAAAAATTTAGAAGATCAGTTTATCTAGATCAATTTACAGAAGTGTGTATAGTTATTTATGGTCTTGGTTCAATGCTGGGAATGAAGTATATGCATTTATCATATTTATATATCTCTAAACACAGATATTTCTAAACATCGGAAATTCACTGTATTACTTAGTGTACAGATACAAATCAAATAAAGTTTGATGGCAGAGACATACCACATGAACACACTGGATCAAGGGGCAACTTAAAGAGATCTTGCTATTTATTGGGTCAAACACAGGAGACAAATTGTAGTAGAAAATTAACAAATTCATCTCTTAAAAGGTATATAGTCCTTTCCATAGCTGGAGGACAAGCAAGCCTCTCTCCCCAGAATAAGTCAGAAGAAAATACATTTATGGGAAAGGGAAATTAAGTACCTCCAGAGCCTAGGAGGTTTTGCAAAAATTCAGATTACCTATGAAGATTAGGTTAGAAGAGCTACAAAAGTCAGTCTGCTCCAACATGAGAAGATTCGCTTTATTTAATGCAACTTGAAACACAGGCTGTGCAATACAAAGACCCTAATTTAATGTTTATCTGGAAAACTTGACCAAGTTGGTTAAAAAGGGAAAGACAGATATCCTTCAGACTGCCTCAAATAAAAGCAGATTGAAATGTGGCTTTCTTTTCCATTTCTTCACCTACTTTTTAGAAATGCTTACAACTATGCTGTCTGCTGGAGACACTGCAGCTTATTTACACTGTCCTTTAAGCTGTCTTGAGTGCATGCTAGAGACATGTCTTCTGAGCAGATCAGGATAAACCTCACCCAGATGCAGCAATCCCAAGGCTGGTGTTTGCGGGAGTCCGAGACCCTCAGCAGGGCTGCAGTGGGTGCGACCCCACCTCAAGTCTGGCCACACCACCAAGGCAGCACCAAGCCAAGGGGCTCAGGCTTGAATCCAGCACTCACGGGACCGTCTGTTTCATTACTTTTTCCTCTGGAGGCACAGATTTCACTGTACGGCCACAGATCACCCTAACGACTGGTGGAACCTTGGGAAACTTCCTGGACATATCCTAGGTAAAACCTCTGCTCCATCAGGGAGAGTACTGTTCTGTGAGCACTGACGGACATGGACAGCTTTCCTCTTACTAACATGTCCAGAGAGGCTGCAGTTTCTACCAGTTGAAAAGCTTGAGTATTGTAGTAAGTCATACAGTTTGCTTTATCATTTTCACCTCCACAGCTTTACCATGAACACCTATCTCTTTGTGTATGACTTAATGCAATTCTGTGGACATTCCTGGATATTTACAAATATGATCATCAGGTTCATGTCCTTTGGAAAAGGTAAGTTCCCTCTGTATTTTCCTTAAACATTTCAAGAGCCAGTGACACACAGAAACATCAAATTGGAGATAAAGTTATGGTTCTGAATAGACATACGTTCAATGCTGGGGCTGTAATTTCAATCAGAACAACATTTTTTCTTCCATTTAAAAGGATGATCAAATTACTGGTAACTACATTCTGCCTACATCATGTCAGCAATGAAGCTCTTGTTTCACTAATGGGCTTTAATATTCAGCAGTGTGCTAGAAATGTCTGACTTACTTAGACATAGACCTAAATGTGACTAGGTCCAGTCATTATAGTGAATATTGGTCTTATTGAAGCCACTGCAAGGGAATACCTTTGTGGTTATTGCACATGACTCTATCTCCAAAAACATTACAACATATATCTCTTTCTGTTGCCTGGGGTTAAGGCATGAAAATAGAAAACTAGTGACTGGAAATTTAAAATAATTTATAATGGCAGATAGTTGTGGGTACATAAAATGGTCTACTTGTTTTAGGAAGTGCTATGGGTACAGATACAGGCAGGAACTCAACATCTCCTCATGTTTAGACATTCCTCATACATTTCCTTATAGTTAGAAATATGCTAAAGTGATCTTTCTAAACTAACACGTCATACAGAATGTTTGCCAGTGCATCAAGTAAAGGAGATCTCACTCCTTTCTCAGCTTCCTGCCTCTGTGTCAGAGCCACACACACAGAGAGTATACTCTCTCTTCCCTTCCCAGAAGATCTGCTTCTGCTTCCCGGAAGTTTGATACTGTGTGAACTTTGTTTCCTGTCTCCAGTGGTGACAGGGCAAGAGCACATCCAGTAGTTGACCCAGACTTTTACTACATAACCAGCCTCCAATTTTCCTCTCCACTTTGTCTGTAGATTCGGTGGCTGATACATTTTACTCCATAGGACTTGTAATGCGCCTTTGCCAGTTGTTATCTGTACTGGAGATCCTACACATCCTCATTGGCAGTGATAAAAGCCGTCTCTTTCCCAGGTTTTTGCAGGTAAGTCAATTTCTCAAGACCCTCTTTCCATGACCTACACACTTCAGCCACGGCTGCTACTAGGGACAAGCCCAAGCTGAACCACCCCAAACTCTTCCTCAGGGAGCTCCCTCTGATAATGGTTTGCTAACTGCAGGAACTGAGCCCTCAGGACTGGCTTGGGAAGGAGCTGCTCTCTCAGTGCTTTTCCTAAGTGAAATTGAATAGCAAGTGCCTCACGCCCAGCCCAAAACAGCAGGGACCTGGAAGATGTCCAGAGGTGGCCATTTGCAGAAAGGGGGCAGTCCCCATTTCTAGGGAGCCATAGGTGACTGAGGATACTACTTCCCCAGCCAACCTGTGTACAGTCAAAAGACAACATTTCTGAGCCAAAGTTTCAGTAGCTAATTATTTCCCCTGCAATGGTACTGACGGGTGCATATTTATTTTGTGGACAAGCACAAGACATAATTTTATGGGATAGCAAAGGGATGACAGTGAGAAAACGATCAGCACATCAAGCCTCCTGAAATGGGGTTTGCTGGCAGTCATGGAGTGTGGAAGGAAAAAAATTGATTAAGAAAGAGAAATTAAGGGACTGAAGAAGAAATAATGCTGGGAGGAGAAAGAAAGGAGAATAGTCATATTCTTGCTGAGGGTCATATCTTGAGAGGGTTAATATGGCCAAATTGTGGCACTATCCAGAGGTTCTGACAGTTAAAGGGTTTACAAGGTATATGTTTAGCTGTAAGCAAAAACACAGCCAAAAGATCACATGCTGTAGCAGAAAACAAGGTGATTCTCTGACATTTTCCTTACTGCACTCTTGTTTTCTGTTGGGAGTTAATCTCAGGTTTTGGTATTTTTTCTCAATGCGTTGGAAAAAGTAAAATTGTTGACTTAACTTCAAACCTTTGCAATCTTTAGTATTTGAATAATGGTGAAACTGGTATTGCTTTCAGCAGTCAGAAGGTAGAAGATTAAAAGTAGTTAGTTATGTTTTTAGTTTTCAGGATAGCCCGTCTTTGTCAAATGATGTGTTGCATGGGTGAAGATGTTCCTCTTTTTAAATCTCCATTAGAAGTTGATTGACTAATGCAGATCTCTGTTCTTCACACTGCTCACTAAATATGACTGCAAGTTCATAAAAATGCAATTAACCTTTTTCCTTGCCTAAATCTACACACTTTTACACTAATTTAGGGGGGGGAAAAGTATCCTGTCTAATAAGTCATGTAACAAATATCACGTCATCTGGAGAGAAGACCAGCCTGCTAATGCTAATAGTCATTAAAGCAAGGCTTGTCCTGGCAGTGTCTACACATTCCCCAGCCCTGACATTGTCTGTTCCTTTCCTAACCAGCCCTAGAAAGAAGCAGAGATCAGGGAAGCCTGCACAAACACTGCTCTGTGTCACCTCAAGAGACAGGAGATACAAAATGAATGTTCTGAGCAAGAAAACTGCGACCTTTTTGGGCAGGGCAGTAACTGCAGTGCTCTCCAACGCAACATGGAGAAGGTGGGTTGGGGAATGTTACAGCACTGTGAATCCAAACATTTGCCTCACAACAAAGCAAGCTTTGGATCCTTACTTGGGTCTTTCCGCATGTGTTCTCTCACCACAAACACACCTCTGGCGCCTTGATGTTGGCAGTAGTCTCATGTCCAATCAGTGTGCACAAGCTCTTTGGGGTAGACTCCGCTTTCACTTGGGTGGCCCTGCTTTTGCTGTGAGAGTACAGAGGCCATGCTGTCCTCCTTGCCTTTTAGGAAAAAAAACCAAACTTATATTCCACAATGAACAGGGGAAGGACAGTTAGATATGCTTACCTTACTGCAGCCTACTGGTCTACTGCATACAGTCAGGGCACCAGTAAGGCTGCAAGAATTTGACAGTGGCTGCCCTGTTCTGCATTCTCACCACCTTTTCTGACTCTAAGCTTAAAACTTATCCCTAGACCCACCCCAAAAGCCATAAATAAGCTGTGAAAGTACTCCTGTGGTGATTGGTTGTTTTGTAGGCATTATAAGAGAGATATGATTTAAGCAGAGTTTGAACAAAGGATTTCTGCCTGATATCCCATTTATTGTGGTTTAGTAGCATTTATAAGGAACACTTTGGGATGCACATGAGAGACTGATGAAAAGCAAACTCAGAGGCGTATTCTGGAAAAACTTGTTCAGTATGGCCTCACTGAGGGACAAAGTCTCAGGCCCTGGTGAAGGGTTAGGTAGGCCAAGACCAAGTCACGTCATGAAAGAAAGATGAGTCCTGTGTGATGGATGCTCTGGAGGAAGGGAAGACAAGGGAGGGTCATACAGTTGGTGCAAAGGGATGGCTCTCAGGGCATCTGCGGTTTGAACGATTGAGAGGAGGACGGGAGAATGTGTCACATGTCACTGCAGTTGCTAAAACAGAAGATAATAAAATTTAGTAGTCTAGACAAGGAGTAAACACTGATAGGGCTGGTACTTTAGCAAGGGAGAGAGTAGGAAAGATGGAAGAAAAGACTGCTGGTTTTGTGAACAAAATACTAATTCTTTACCCTGTACAAACAGAATTGGATTTCCCAGACCAAAGCTTTGTGATAAAAACATTAATTTTTAACTTAATCTAAATATTTAGTAGCACTGTTTTTTTTTAATCTTTTACTAAATTGAAGAGCTATGTAAGAGTTTCACGTACCAAATACTGTACAGTCATGATTCTTAAAAAATGGAAGTGAATGTGCTGCCTGCTCCTGCCCTAACCACAGCCAGTATAATTTGCTCTGTTTCAGTTGCTTACTTCAAATGCCCAGACTGCCTTGTGGAAATTTATGCCATTCTACAGAACTTGCTGTATCCTGTGAAAGACCAGTGCTGGGAGAGGAAGGAAATTCCGGCTTGATTTAACACAAAGGAGGAATGAAAAATGAAACAATTTCATTTATGCTTTGTGAGGTGTCAGCACATACTTCCTTTTTATGAACATGAAAACACAGGACTTCTAGTTTTGCTTTTTTTTTAAGCAAGAGAGTAGCAACAGAGAATACCATATTTTCATTTACACAGGGACAGATGATCCTTAGAAGAAATGAGCTGTGCCTGGGCATCAGCACATGCTTCTCATATAGATGTGTGTATTTTCATGTATGTACATCATTCCATGTGTGTATATATACAGATGTGTATGTATAGGGGCACAATACCTACAGACATGTTCTGGAATCTCCCCTTCTTCAAGTAGCACCCGGCCTTGTCACTTGCCGAGAAGGCCCACAGCCTCTAACCCTGGCATCTACCTTTGATTTGCCTTGGTTACCTAAAAGTAAAGAAATGAAAGAAAAGAGCACAGTGCTATGAAAGAAAAGAGCACAGGGGAATAAAGGCAGACAGGCAGGCAACCTCCTGATTTACAGAGAGAAGAGGTAGGATGTGTTGTCTCCCATGATGAAGACATCATTGCTGCTGCCCTGCCCCGCCGATCTGCTCCACAGCAAGGCCATGGGTGGTTTTTAGTTCTGGCCTCTGATGGCTGCTCTGTCCACCCCGGTGTTTGCTGGCTGAGGCTGCAGTCCCACAGAAACAGAAGACCCACAGGGCACCTGTGCTGTGTCAAGTCCAGTTCACTGCCCTTGCAGGTACTCAACCTGCTTTACATAGCCTGATTACTGACTCCCACCACCTGCAACAAGTGAGGCTGAGGGCCTCCACTGCTCCCCTTCACAAACATGAACCCTCTGATGGAGGAAATCTGCTGAGCCCCAGCGAGGTGATAGTCACTGCTTCTCGTGCATCTGCTCATGCCCTGGGGAGGGGAGGAAATCCACAGCCCCTTCCACTCTCAGACCATGAGGCTGAACTGTGAGTCTCCATAGCCACTCTGTCTCATTGGCCTGTGCTCATCCTTTTGAAACTGGGGGTGGTAGCTACCTGCCTATTATCCTTCTATCTCACTGAAATGGGATCAGCTCCTCATCACTTGACCCATGCTGTTTTCTAGCACTTTTTCAACCAGCCACCTCTTGAAGAGCAAGTGACCACTTGGAAAATCTGCCAGCCCTCCCATCTAAAAACATGTCCACAAGCTTTGGTCTCTAGATGAGACAATTCCCTGAAATATCTCTTGTATTAATGATATTGCTGAACTCTGTCTCTACATCCCTGTCCAATTTTAGGGTCAGTAACAAAATGCCCATACCACCAATGCTGCACTCCGTTATCACCCTTCACCAAAATGATTTTAACTTAAGTTCTATTTTATTTATTCTCTCCAGCACACAATGCTGTTTGGTGCTCACAGTGCTTTTACCTTTGTTTTGATTTCCTTCTTGTGATGGTTGTGCCACCATGCTTCTCCTATCTGTTGTAACTGGCTTCAGATTGTGCACTAGTAATTCCAGTTCCCTCATCTTCTTGTCAGGTTCCTCAGCATCAGTGTTTAAACACAAGATTTATTAACTCTCACTCTCTGCTCCCTGGTCTGTCTATACAGAAGTCTGCTGACATCCGACCTTCTTAGAAATCAATTCCTCAGTTAGGGACCAGTGGGAGCAGCAGCACAAGATGACAAGGGAGGGTGAGATGCAGCAAAACCTTTTTTATCTGTTCTGGCCCCTCAGTGCTTTTCAAGATGAGAAACCAGATCCCTAGGGGATGGACACGCTCTTTTTCTGTATGAAAAACTGTTCTCACATAATTTTGCTGAATAGTAAAGTGATGACTGCTTTATCTGACAGATGTGGTTTGCAAAAAGAGTCTTGTAGCCAAAGTGGTTCACACAGGAACCAGTAAATGTTACGTAGCAAAGCCACTGCACAAACTTGCTGAGAGGCCAAGTTCTTATTTCACTTAAGGTAGGAGTAAGGGGAAGTGTAAAACCAGTGAAGAATGACTGTGCTTATGAAAACCACCTTTGTTAATCCATTTTCATTTCATGACTTTTCACTGACTTAACACCTTAACCCATGAAATCATTAAACCTAAGGCATCTTATAGAAGACAAGGCAGTGGGTATTAAAAAAGCCCAATGAGTACCAACTGAATAGATGCATGTTTTCTCTTTCAACACTTTCAAACAGTGTAAACCAGAGTGAAGCAGTACCATTCTGGAAGAGTTTCACAGGCAACTATTAGCAGTACTAAATACTACAGGTATATATACAGGGCAGGGCATGGATACTGATAGGAAACTTGTCCAAAGAAGCTGCAAGAAGACACACTTGGTTTTAATTTCTTGAGTTTTAATAGTGACAAAGTATTTTTTTAAGCTGGAAACAATGTCTGCTTAATCCACTTTTATATATTTTCATTTGTAAAGGCATACCTTGTGGGCCAGATAAGGTTCAACCACTAAAAAAATGTTATTACATAAATATTACAGCAATAATTCACATAAATGACAAGCTTAAACCCACTTCTAGCCAGAAACAAGGAAGGAAAGATAAGAAATTCCTCTTTTCCTCTTCCTTTCTGCAAATCTTACATGAGAGAGATCCCTTGGGACACAGATCTCCAAGTTACAGAAAGCAGAGCTGGGACTGTGAGATTAGCACTGCCTGGCAGAGAGAAGGCACTTGGGTGGGCAGTACCCCACAGGCAGCCTGCAAGCAGGGATGCTTACCTCCTGCTGGCTCCCCAGGCACTGGGGCACAGTGGAAGAAGTCCTTGCTCCCACCACCACAGCTGGCTCATCCACCTGAATTCTTTTTTCTTTCCAGATCACTGAGAGAATAATTGTTTTATTTGTCGTCATCAACAGTCAGGAAGAAGTTCAAGGGAAATACGTCGTGTGTGTTTTATTTTTCCTTTGGAATTTATTAGATGTGGTCAGGTAAGGAGTCAGTGGCAAAATCCTGAGGGGAAAATGGGTCATTCTTGAAAGAAGAACCCCATCCCCACCATGCTGTAGGCTCATTTTATTATTTTTAAAATGGTATAAAAGTATATTATCCATTTGAAATAAAAGCTTGGACCTTACCAGCTAGTTACTGATTTTTACAGAAATCCACATAGTTGAGAAGAAGAGTGACTTACAGAAATAAATCACTGCATTAACATTTATAGTTCAAAGGCTTTGAACTTTTTAACAAAAATCTAGAAGGAAACCAGAACTACCTCACAGGGAACAGTGATTTCTAAAGCCGATTTACAATCCTAGGAACAGTAATCAGTAACATTTCTCAAATGTTACTTAAGCCTCTATGGACCTCAGTTTGTAGACTCAGAGCAGGGAAGATAGGGAATTAAGAAGCATTTTAACAAGACATAACCGTTACGGCAGCCTCTGTACGGGATCAGATTTTTTTCCCTTAGCTTTTTTCTTTCTGCTAAAATGGCTTCTGCTTTGGGCACTGACCGGGGTGCATGGATTTAGGCAGCAAAGGAAATGTATGTTATAAAAGAGATCTAAAGAAGGAGTGTCAGATAGGATCGATAAGAAAGATTTAAAGTCAGCTTCAAAGTATTTGTACTACATGTGTTAATAAACAACTACTTGTACTAATTATTTAGATTATTGCTCCATCCCATTTCTTTTTGAAGTTTGTAAAGATAAAATAGCAGATCTTAATCTCAAATAAAAGGGTTCTGTGCAGCTGGAGAGAGGCCAAAAGTGTAAACAATATTGGCTGTAAAGTCCTGTCAGTGCACAACAGTCATATCAATGCATATTTTATATTGTTGCTAAAGAACACAGTCCAGCATCTTAGCAGTAACAGTGGCCACTTAACAGGCAATATACTGTGGTCTATGGCAGCAAATGACCAATTGAAATAATAGCACATAGTACAGCTCATACAGATTTAGAGTTCTTACCCGATTTATTTTACAGCATCTGTGCTAAGTCTTAGCATCTCAAAGAAGTGGTCATGCCTAAAACTGTACAGTAATCTAACCCACCCCTTAGCCAACTAGTCTTGAAGCATTATAGTTCTTCAGGGACATAAATACCTTGTGCATTATGGCTAACGATACACAGAGCAAAATTGTCAAGGTTTTGTATATTTGATCTTTCCTGCCTATACCATAAACAGCCCAAGAAGGTGTATGAAGAGGGAGTAGCTGTCTACTTTTTTGTATTGAGTTGAGATTATGCCTTAAAAGCAGTAATTGTGAAAAATGGAGACAATCCTGAGGCTGCAGAGGGCCAACCTGAGAGAAGACCATACATCTGTAGCCTATCAAACTCCTATACAGTCCAGGAATGATGCAAAATTAGTCAACGAATTTGTAAGAAGGGAATACAGAAGTTTGTTTAATGCTGGTTCCAACAATCCTGGCTAACATGGTTTAAAAATCTTTACTTTCCTATCTCCAGCAAGACCACAGTGCAAAAAGCCTCTCAGATGACCAAAAGTGTGATCAGACCTGTTTCTCTGGTGTTTGGAAAGCTGCTGGTTTCTGACAGAGCCTTCAGGCTGGAGGGCTGTATTGCTGTCTGCCTGTGCTAGGGTAGCACCACAGACAACTCCTCCAAAGCAATGGACCATCTGCTTTCAGACATTGATTAGAGCCTGAACAAAACTGCTGCAGTGTTGCTCTGAAATCTTCTCAGATAGGCAGCTCCAAGCTCTTCTGCAATTCCCTTGGCTATTTTTTAAATAAATAAATAAATAAATAAAGTATCTTTATTTTAAAGACATGATCATTCCTTCTGAGCTCATCTGCTGTTCCTCTTGCTGCAGGTACACTTACAACATGTTAGCAAGGATGGGAATATATTACCCACCACTGACATGGCTCCATGTCTCACTGTGCATCCCACTCTATCCCCTTTCAGTTCTGGCTCAAGGTAAGGAGATGGGAAAAGTACCAACGACTTGCTTCCTTAATATTCTTCAGTAAGATTTGATCAGTTCAATTGTCATTTGTGTTTAAGATCCTTCTTTTTGTGTTGCCAAAGTAGTAAAAAATGCTTGTGTACTCTCATATTAATCTGCATGTCTATATATCTTTCTCTTTACGGCACTTTTTTCCTTAATAGAGGTTCTCGGGGGTTTCTGGGGCTTCTGTGTCTGTTAGCATTTTATCATACTTACATCATGAAAGGTGCCCACTGAGATCATATTGAAAGTAGTGATGCTACAGGAGTGACAGAACTTGTTACTGAATAGGAAATACTTGCTAATTCTAGCCTTAAAAGCAATTAGCACCTCAGACCTACAAAACTGAACTCAAGGAGAAAATAATACGCGCATATGCATATGGCAAATTCTCACATAATACAGCTATCTGTGCCTTAAAGGTAACTGACCTTTACATTAGGCTTTTTGATGATCTTCCAAACTGTTTTTGACTAAAGATTTACCATATTATTTTACAGCATTTGCAATTTGTGTATCACTGCCTTATTTTGAATACTTTGGCACGTACTCCATCAAGCTACCACTTCCATTTGCCTTCTCAATCTACTTCCCCTATGTTCTGAAAATGTACCTGCTGGTGCTTTTTATAGGTAAGTATACCATCTTCCAGAAAGCTGGGTCTTAACACAACTGGGATGCCTACGGCAATAGAAAATCAAATCAGTATAACTCCTTTCACAAACTCTAACTCTCTGCCACATCCCCTGCCGACTACGGCAGGAAAGTTCATCACCAGCTGTTTTGATTTCCAATGTCTTTCAAATACAAGTAATTGAATTTGGAAAATACACCATCTCTCTTCCAAAAATACACAAAATACAAACCAAAAAGATAAAAATAGCATCGATGATGCTGGCCTTAGAGCTACTTACTAAAGTTTGCCTTTTTTTTTTTTTTTTTAAATAAATTCCCATTTGATCATACTCTCATTGTGTGCAACCCCTCCTCACTCATTCCTCCTAGCTGGTATGAGAAGTTATATTTCAGTTAGGACTTTTACAGCTTGATTATCCAAAAGGGTGAAAAAAGAGCCCACCACAAAACCTGCAAGTGAATAGATCCCTTCGCTCAAAAAAAATCTCAACTGCATTACAGCCAGGTCTTTGTTCTGTCACTGGCTTTAACACTAATTTGAAGGATCTCATCTTTGTGATGCAGCATTCTGTTCCTAAGTTCATGGACGGAACTGTGCAAGGTTGCCAGAGGAAGGCTCAGGCTGCTCCTTCTGAATTAATGGAATACACTTTAGACTCCACTCCCTTGTTCTTAACTCCCTTGTTCTTAACCTTGTTTTGTGCTTTGATCCAGGTATGTGCTTTAACATCCAGAACCTCTTCTCCGAAAGGAAGGCACACCTAGGGACAGGCAACATCGAAAAGAAAAGAAGCTAAGTTGATACGTTGTTTGGAAATAAGAAATATACTCCCAGTGGTCTGCTGCATATCATAGATTAAAAAAAATTAGACAAACATTTTCAATGCAAAACTCCTGTTTGCATGTACATTATCTGGTTGTGCAGAATTTTCAGAAAAGGCAGGTCTCCTAAATGCACCTCAAAAATGGAGCAGCTCAAAGTAACTAGTGACTTTTGAAAGCTGTGACTTCAAATGGCAGTAGTTTTAAAAATGAATATATTTCTTCTAACATATAAGCCTATTCAAAGAAATTGAAGAGTGTCTCCACTCACTATCACACTAACAACCCTTATTTTTGTTGTTAATTCTTGCCTTATCAGCAACAGACCTTCTGTAATGACAATATCATTTAACCTATGAGATTATTTTACATTAGGCCTACATGTGTGTGCCTCATATATATAAATGCCAAATTAGCCAGAACTGGAATCTCTCAAGGAGCAGAAGCTGGAAACTTTGCAACCTACGACATTCACATGCTGATCAGTCCCAGGCATTCACGAAGGATTCTCGCGTTCTGTCCCAACCTTCACTTCTCCAGACATGACTCCAGAAAATGCAGCACATGTTGTTTCTCAAAGGGAACTGAGTAACTGTCAAAAGCCACGTGCAAAATTCTAGCCATTTTACTCAAGTGCGTTGCTCCTCATACTTCTGTGGGACTATCTGTGAAAATACAACTAGAACATAGTCTCTTCAAAGGCTGAGAATGAAAAATGCAGACAGCAACCCAGTGTGGACTGCAGAGGCAAAATTGAATCAATAAGTGCTTAGAGGCTGGCAGGGGCTTGTCTAATGTTTCATCCATACTATCACCTACATTTGAATTCAAGCAGGTGAGGGAGAGAAAGTGAGGCTATTTTTTTGAGCTTGGCTGAAAACTGGGCAGAGGGAGGAAAGATAAAAGTTGAAGAAAAGATAATTATCTAAAGGGAAAATGAACACTATCACAATATGAAGAGGCTTTTGCCTGTATGACTTTATAAACCATGCAGCCTGAGAGGGTATCTAGAGTGCAGCTGGCCTTGAAGTAATTTGTTACAAATGGTCTCCTGCTATAATTTTTATTTCTTGAATATATGTGGCAGACAATGCCTGCTGACTGTTGTGACCACTGCAGTATTTGCAAGCCATAAGCAACAAGATCACACATGCAATAGTACAGGGTCAACCAACCCTGGATATTTTTATTTTTTTTGAAAGCACTGCAAACAAAGGTAGAAACTTGAAACTTGCTAGAGAAACAGAAGTAACTCCACTTTGGACTTCGGCATGACCCAAACTGATAGAAGTGTGGACAATGGGAAAAAAAGTATAGAGCAGCTCAATAGGATGACAGCTATGAAGAGGAGTGCCAGAGTACGCATGCTTCACATCAAACCACTATATAACACACTAAGGTGAAACACGGACACTTTTCCCCTTGGAAATTCAGTCTAATGTGTTTGTCATCAGGAGATACTGCAGGCACTGCAGCAGATTCCCCTGCAACCCATGGAGAAGACCACAGTGCCAAAACTGTCCCTCTGCAGCCCATGGAAGACCACTCCAGATAAGAATACCCGTGCTACAGCCTGTGGAGGACCCCATGTTGCAGCAGGCAGATGTGTCCTGAAGGAAGCTGCAGCCCACAGAGAGGCCACACAGGAGCAAGTTACTGGCAAGAACTGTGGCCCACGAGGGACCAACACTGGAGCAGCCTTTTCCACATGGACTGTACCCCACAAAAAGGACCCATGCTAGAGCAGAGCTTGAAAAGCTGCAGCCTGTGAGAAGGAACCATGTCTGAGAAGTTCATGAAGGACTGTATCCCATGGGAGGGACCTCACACTGAAGCAGCACAACAGTGTGACGAGGAACAAGGAGCAGAGATGTTTTATGAACTGACTGTAACCTCGCTTCTCTACCCACCCTGCACCACTTGAGGAGGAAGGAGGTGGAAGAATGAAGGAGTGAAGTTGAGCCTGGGAAGAAGGGAGGGGTAGGGGAAAGGTGGTTTTAGTTTTGTCTTTGTTTCTTACCTTCTTACTTTATTTTTAATGGGCAATAAATTACCCTTCCCCAAGTTGAGTCTGGTTTTGTGATGCTAAATGATCTCCCTGTCCTTATCTTGACTCACAAGGTTTCTCATCCTATTTTCTCCCTGTCCTATTGAGGAGGCAGAGTGAGAGGAGTACCTGAATGGGCTTCTGGCAGCCAGCCAAGGTTGAACCTACCACAGATTCATATTAAGCCATGTTTATTGTATATTAAAAACAAACAAACAAAGCCCACAGACCAAAAATCAGGATGTGATGCTCTCCCTTTACACTGATTCTTACAGCTGGCTAAAAGGCAGGAATAGAAGGATTCTTTACAATTCATTATGGGGACAACCCCCAGACCTAAACTGCAAGAAACAGTTAGTCTCTTCAGGTTAGAGATAAGGAGGAAGTTCTTCACTGAGAGGGTTGTCAGAAGCTGGAACAGGCTGCCCAGGGAGGTGGTGGAGTCACCATCCCTGGATGTATTTAAAGAGCGGGTAGACGAGGTACTTAAGGATATGGTTTAGGGGGTAGACAGGAGCGGTTGGACGTGATGATCTCGGAGGTCTTTTCCAACCGAGCGATTCTGTGATTCTGTGAAACAAGCATGAAGTTAATGGCAGAAGATTTCCCACCTCTTTCTGGTGCAAGTCAATTGTGGGATCCAGGAAACCAGCCTTCCACCTGTGACCATGGCGGGCCACTGTAACTTCTGCTCTACTTTAGTTTTTGGAAAAGCTAAGGTATGATTGGGTAGGCAAAACATTGCTTAAAAAAGACTTGCCTGAGTCTTTCCACCTCTGGGAACTTAAATCTTTGTTCAAAACTTTTGTAAGTCTTGAGATCCCAGCTCATCTGTATCTCCATTTAGATAATTCAATACTGGAACTGAAATGTGTTGTTCTTATGTATCTTTGTAAACACAGGCAAAATAATCTACTGTACAGACAAAGATTAAAAAATATCACTAGAGAAGTGATATACAATTGAAAGTGGTTAAACAATCTCTTTAGGAGCAGAAATATCTCTCTACTACATTTGTCTGACATTTAAAAAACCCACAAGTTTTAGTACAGCTTATGTACTGTGAGTCTGCATGTGAAACACATGCAGTGTGGAAAAGAATCAGAATCGTTATGATTAGAAAAGGCCTTGATGATCTTAAAAAACATTAAATATCTCTGCCTTTGCTTCAAGGGGGCCATTAGAAGGGCCAAATTAGAAGGGCCAAAGCGCTGATGGAACTCAGTCTAGCTAGTGCTGTTAAAGA